TCCGAGTAGCATCAAGAAGATCGTCGAATATGGATTCGTAATTTTTGAAAACTTCTGAACGAAAGTAATCTTCTTTTTTTGTTCGCTCTTAACAAATACTTTAACAAATATTAAACGGACTATTGATTATTGCTGGCTTGAATTGAACCTGGATTGAGGATTGAGAGCCATGTCCTGTGTGTAACCTTAATCCAAATGAATTGATGCAGATTGAAACAATGTAAAGATGGACGATAATATATTTACAAGAATATAATTTAATCATGGAGTACTTTAGCGAAATATTTTTGCTTGGAGTTGACACAATCGTATTCACTATCTGTTTGAAACAGTATATTCACTACAAGAATGCGATTAAAGCGATTAAGGTAAACAATATTAATTTATTATTAAAGTTTTGAAACGTATTAATATAAATTAGAATATTTTAAAATATTACAGGCAATTTAAGAACTTTTATTTTTTGTAGAATGTTGAGCTACACGACGTTGGTCCAGATTTGGAAAGTCTACTAGATAAGAGCCTGAATAACAAAGTAGATTATATTGCTGTCAGAGGAGTCGTGAAACCATTAAAAGAATCATTACGAAGCGTTAATAAAACAGATGTCACCGGAGTCATACAGAAGCTTAGTGTCAGAGAACATGTTGTCGCAAGAACATCAGCTGGTTATTGGTAGGTTATTGAATATTACAACTTGATGAACAATTCTGTGGTTGAAATATAAATGTCAATAATCTTGATAATATTATATTTCTTTCTAATTATCTAATTTGTAATTCCATAGGTCTGACCAGGAACGAACAATTCAGCAAGTATATAATGTCGTACCATTTGTTCTGCAAAATAGATGGTATCGTGTTGAGATAACAGATCCATTGTCTGCTGATATTTTAAACTTGGATGTAATCTCTGATAATTTTCAACCTAGTGTACCTACAATTATAGACCATATATGGGGATTTTTTACGGGTAATTATAAAACTTGTAATCGGACTAGTTCTTATCTTTATTACATAATATAAAATCATATATACACCCTTGTAAAAAAATGTGTACGTGTTGTGCATGCATAAAGTTCGTAAACTTGAATTTATTATACGATTTATTAGGAGTACGCCAACGAGGTATACAGTCTACAGAAAAAATGTTGCGTGAAGATTCAATTATTACAGCAATAGGTGAGCTCTCGAGGTCGAAAACTGAATCCAATTATCTTACTTTGCAACTTCCATTAAACGGATCTCCTTTTTATATAACAAGCATGTCAGTTACTTCTTTGATGCGGAAATTAGATGATCATAAGAAAATATACAGGCATGTACATTTTAGTGTATTGGAATATTATTATACAGTATTTAATTGGAATATATTATTTATTATATTATTAAGTCTGAATTTATATGATCTTCTGAAACACATAGGCTGTTTTGTTTGATGAGCGGCACAATTGGATTAATACTTGGAGGAATTATGATGAGACGCTATTGGAAGAATAAACAGCAGCAAAGATTAGCAGATCAATTACGTCAATCGCTCGAAACATCTCGTCAAGAAAGGCGTCAAAGGGTCAGGGATAGGGATCTTAGAGAGGATCAAATATGTGTAATTTGCAGGACAAACGCACGTGAAATTATTTTACTACCTTGTGGTCATGTATGCATATGCGAAGATTGCTCAGTTAGCATCAATAATAATTGTCCTATTTGCAGAACACAAATTATTCAAAGAGCGGCCGCATATATAGTATAAATTTCATCTTGATATGAATACCACTTTTATATAGCAAAAATATTTTTATTGTACCAGAGTGTGTGAAAACGATGATTGATTAAAATAATACGATCCCATCTCCTTTATGTGATAGATGTGTATAATTTTATTATTTATAAATGAAAATCTAATTTACAAAAATAATATATAAGTACATTAATTACAATAATTATAAAGAGTACAAAACTATTTTCTGATCATGTAATTTTTAATATATATGTTTAATGAACTTTGGACATATGTATAAGTTATTTTTTGTTATCAATTATCCTGTTTTAAAACTATGTATTTATGACTTTTTTGTTTAAAAATATATTTAAAAACCTAACGCTACAGTTATAGTCGTTAAGAGTTACAGAAAAGGTCCTTTAATCTTTAAATGAAAAAAATAGTAAAATGGTTTTTCCAGTAATAACTGAAAATAAAACATATATGAGAAAATTTATGTTTGTAAAAATATATTTTAGGTGCACATGTTACATATTTAGACAGTTATATATTTAGTTGCATAAGAATCTTAAAGATCTATATTTTGCTGTTTGTTTCTTTTATCCATATGCAAGTTCATTATTTTTTTAGCTTTACTAGATTTACCAATACCGAGTTTTGGCAGTCCTCTATTCAAACCTTCCAACAAAACACATGCTTTACATATTTCTTGACTTGAAATAAATCCACATAAAGTACAATTTCTTCTCTCTGGCATTTTTATATTAGCTTTCACTTGTAACTGCTCACCTAGTAAATAATATTATTTTGGCTCATCATTCAAAAACGAGCTATGTCCAATTGCTATGAATTTAAGCAGGAATACTTTAGATGATTTCAAATGAATAACTCTTAAACGGATTTTTAATTTCTGCCAATAAAATTTAATGCCAAAATGTCTAAAGAAAATTATAAACAGGATAGGATATTAAAACGTATAGAGCATATTGATTGTGTTCTGTAAAACGCATCATATATTATTTATCCTGAGAATGGAAGTATAGTGACGCCATTACTTTTTATAATAATAATTTGGTGACGTTGGAATTTTTTGACTGACAATAATTAACTAAACGCTAAGGTTGCATTAAGATTGGGAAAATTACTTTTAAAAGTAACTTGTCATCATTATGCGTTATTTACCGAAAAAAGTAATTTGTTACTTGTAACACATCGATATGTTACTTTATATTTGTTACAAATACGAATTATTTTTCCAATCCGTTAGAAGTAACAATTCACTTTTCCACTCTACCACTATTACCATTGCAGTCATAAAAAATTCGCGACGTCATTACCAAATCATTATTATAACAAAATAACGATAAAAAAAATAAGGCGTTACACAAGTAACATACTTCTATTCCCTAATTTTATCCTTATTGTTCATCGAATAATAAATAAAGATAAAGTAATCATACACAATATGCGCTCTATCGACGGCTAAAAAAATTGTTTTAATTGTTTAGTCATGACATTAACAACATATGTCAGAGTAACTAGGAATGCCTCTTCTAATCGACATATTTATTCTTTATTTATTTTTGGCATTAAATTTCGACGTTTTTATTAATAGAAATCTTTTTAAGGACATTTCATTATCATTTCGAGTATTTCTGTCAAAATTCATAATAATTGGGCATTGGCTATTTTCGGAAATTATTCACTATTTTTCTAATTTTTAGGTTGCATGACAGATAAATATTGATATTGTAGGAAATTAACAAAAAGATATTCTTACCTGAATGTATTATGTCTATGATAGATGACGGCCTTATTTTTTCTAAATCCTTTAAAAAGGCTCTTGCATGACCTCTATAAGCATTTGGAGCATATATACATTCTGTAGAGAAGTATATTAGATTTTTAAAATATGCATACATGACAATTTCTTTTTCATATGCATATTTTAGAGGTTTACACCGCATGATAGAATCTGCACCAGTCTATATTATATAAGAATATAGATATCAAAGAAATTTGTTATAATTTTATAAACATTTCATATACAATATTCTTACAGTGATTACAGATGTACATCTCTGTAGTCGGGCAATGTCACCTCTCAAGATATTCATTAGTACTGTTTCAGCGATATCATCTGCATTATGACCTGTTGCAATACAATCTACTTTCAAAATTGCAGCCCCTCTATCCAATGCTTGTCTTCGGAAAACACCACAAAATGTACAATTATTTTTACGGCCGATCTAAAAAATATATTTTGTTACACGTGTTTAAAGTTATCAAAAAATATAGTTAAATCTCACATCAACTTGATTTATGAGATTGACTGCATATCTTTATGTAAGGCATTTAATTGACAAATCCTTAAATTATTAGATCTAAGTACTGAACTAAAGACAGGTTCTTAGTAAACTTTAGCTGTAGTTTAAATATTTGATATAATTTACCTCTGCAACTATAGAATCCATTGTCCATCCATACAATTCCTTATATGATAAAATTTGAAGTGGAATACCATAATCATCTTTATTCTGTGTCACAGTTTTCAAGCTATCATCTCTGTAGCCTAAAAAGATATATTTTAAAAGAAAATTATATTTTTTATGTACAATATAAAGCTTCAATATGAAGATGACATTTTTATATAGCTGCATTACCAGTAATTCCTTCATCGATGGATAAAAGAAACAGGTCTAATTCATACTTGTATCTTTCATTCAAAGTTTTTAAGACATATGCCAGTACAGTGGAATCTTTTCCACCTGATGCACCAATGGCAACCTTATCACCAGGCTTAAATAATTTACCATTGATGATAGTATCGTGAATCTCGGTCTCAAATGCCAAGAAAAAACATTCTTTGCATAATGTATCGCCAGTTTTTGGCCTCTAAAAATACATACATATTCTTTTAATTTAATAATGCAATAATATAGCAATTTTCAGATTTAGTATAAATTTGAAAAAATAATTTACCTTTAAAATAGCATTTTTTCCACACTTTGTGGAACATTGTGGAAATGGAGGCATCTCAATTATTTTTCTTAGGCTATCAATAAATCTCGTTATAAGATAATTTCATTAATAATGCAAGATTGCAAAAACAAACACGTGTTCTATACATATAGATCTTCGTGAATGCAAGCACAATTAAGGTTATATGGCGATTATGCAAAAAAAAATTATAATACAGTCACAAGTAGTATTGATCTAACAAAATCCACTTAAGTTTATTAATTTTTCTTGAAAGATCTGATAAAAAACAAAAAGTTTATATTATTTCTATTTTCGGAAATTAAAAGTTTTTATTACACAAGAAAAATGTTCAAGTAAGAACGCGCGATTTAATCTTCCGGCTTCTCAGGCGGTGGTCCACAGGGTTGCAGCATCTTCTCCATAAGATTGAATCTAACTCGTGCCTTGGCTTCGTTCTCGGCAATCGCAAAGAAATTTAGCAAATCGTAGTGGCCCATATATGAACTACAGGAATCTCTGTGCTGATTCACCAACCATTCGAACTTGGTTGTGTCTGCATGCCCAGTCCCAATGTACTTGGATTGTAGATGCTCCAACTGGCTATGGATGTTGTAGCGTTCACCCATACTTTCGATTTAAAGCAGACTTAAACTTCCTCGCGCGATCTCGTTCTTCTCTAATAATATTGAATATTGAATTAATAATCACACGTTTCACCACCCGTATATCATTAACTAGTACCTCTTCGTTTCATAGGTTATATTCGCTTAACATCCGAG